TCTTCCGAAAAGGGGAGGTTTCCCCCCACATGTGGCCCTGTGTAGACAGTCCAAATGTTGGAAAAGCCTCTTCCGAAAAAAGAAGCGGAAAAAGGTACACAATTTGAGCTTTGCAATTTGCGTACCTTTTTCTGAAAATAATCTGCAGCATAGACATAGCCTGAGTGCTTAGTGCTGGCCAAGTCAGACCGACTGGGACAAGGAGGGAAGCAGGGTCTGAGCCCCAGTGCGGGCTTAGTTGGGGTGTAAACAGAGGTGAAAGGAAGCAGGTGCACCCAAGGAAGAGGTGCACCCAAGAGCCAGCAGGGAGCTCTATAAGGAGCTGGCAGGGCCTGGGTTTCAACAGGACAGAAGGAATGCTGAGCAGATGGACAAGGGAGACATTATGCCCACACTCCATGCCGCCGGCCCTACAGCTCCTGGGAGCAAATGCAAGAAAAGCCACCTGGGCCCCTTCTCCCCCTATTGCTGGGTGTCCTGCAGAATTTGCTCCTATTTCAGTATGCTGAGAGCCGGTCCTGGGCTGCACCCCTCTGTCCCACCTGCCAGGGATGGACCCAGATGCATTAGGAAGGGCAAAGATGAAGCACTGGAGTGAAAAAGAAAATGCTTCCTTCCAATATCCAGGAATTTTGGCATCCAGCTCAGGGTCTTTGAGGACAGCCATGTGGAGGGCTGGAAGTGGCAGTCTGGAGATGGACAGGACACATGCTGGCCAGGCCAGAATGCAGTATTCCCATAACCTCTCAAGGTAGAGGCGCCCTTGTACACTGACTGACCAATCACGCAGCAGGTGCAGTCAGGCAGGGGGAACTGTGGGGGATGATGAATAAAATCCACCTGCCATCAGAAACAGTGTTCCTGGAAATTGCACCTGGCACAAGCTGCCAACACCTCTGGGACACATGGCTAGGTCCAACCAGGCTTTGAATGGAAACAATCCACCAGAAAGGAACCCCCAGATTGCTAGAAAAAGGCAAATGCATGGCCCTGCAGATCCCTCTTCCAGCTCTGTCTCTCTGGGGTGCCAGGCATAGTCACCCCAGTCAATGCCCAACTGTGGTGCTCAGGTGATGAGTGAGGATAAGGTACTGACTAGTACTCCTCTTGCCAAAAGCATGAGATTTTGAAAGTGGCGGGTCAGTTCAAGGACACCTGGAAGGCACTTGGTCATACTAGAGCAAATACAGGCTGAGCAAGGCAAATACACATAGTAGGGCAAGGCAAATAAATAAGCCACAAAAGGCAGGATGGCTTAGTGGTTAACTGGAACAGGAGAGCAGGGCTCTAGATTCATGGCCCTGATACTGATCTGCTGGGTGTCCTTGAACAAGTCCTTTTTGGTGCCTTAGTTTCCCTTTCTTGTGTCTTGCTCTTTACACAGTAAATATGAAAGAACCACAGGGCATGGTGGGATCCACCTAATCCCATTGATTGATGCTGAGTAACAAAGGTTAACTGCACATGGACACCATTGCTGTGCTTGGAGCCCTCAAGGACACACTAATTAGAGTGAAACCACCCTATTCTCATACAACTGCACACTTTTTCAGAAAAGCAAAACACACCAGGCAACGAGGTTCATGGCCATCACTAGAGTGACACACAGAGAAGCCAGGGCAGAACAACGCCTGTCCTCACACCAGAGTAACAGCGGTTGTAAAGAGCTGGCACTAAGAAAGCTATTTGCAATGCACGGTGCGAACAAGTGTCGTCAGTCCTGCAAACCCCAGAAATTATGACTGCACTTGCCACTTAGCTCCTGATTATTTACACAGAGTTACGGTTTATATGCACATTCATAGAGCTCTCTGGAAACCCTTTGTTGGGGGGTACGCCCCTGATGTGGGTGCATCTCCCTAAGGTCCTGTTGCCCCAATCCCGGCCCCTCTACCAGGGCATATATGGTACTAGCAGTCCCAATACAAAATCCAGGCCTCCCCCCCATCAGGGCATGGTACTAGCAGTTCCAATACAAAATCCAGTCCCCCTATCAGGGCATATACGGTACTAGCAGTCCCAATACAGAGTCCAGACCCCCCCTATCAGGGCATATACGGTACTAGCAGTCCCAATACAGAGTTCAGGCCCCCCTATCAGGGCATATACGGTACTAGCAGTCCCAATACAAAGTCCAGGCCCCCCCTATCAGGGCATATACGGTACTAGCAGTCCCAATACAAAGTCCAGGCCCCCCCTATCAGGGCATATACGGTACTAGCAGTCCCAATACAAAGTCCAGGCCCCCCCTATCAGGGCATATACGGTACTAGCAGTCCCAATACAAAGTCCAGGCCCCCCCTATCAGGGCATATACGGTACTAGCAGTCCCAATACAAAGTCCAGGCCCCCCCTATCAGGGCATATACGGTACTAGCAGTCCCAATACAAAGTCCAGGCCCCCCCTATCAGGGCATATACGGTACTAGCAGTCCCAATACAAAGTCCAGGCCCCCCCTATCAGGGCATATACGGTACTAGCAGTCCCAATACAAAGTCCAGGCCCCCCCTATCAGGGCATATACGGTACTAGCAGTCCCAATACAAAGTCCAGGCCCCCCCTATCAGGGCATATACGGTACTAGCAGTCCCAATACAAAGTCCAGGCCCCCCCTATCAGGGCATATACGGTACTAGCAGTCCCAATACAAAGTCCAGGCCCCCCCTATCAGGGCATATACGGTACTAGCAGTCCCAATACAAAGTCCAGGCCCCCCCTATCAGGGCATATACGGTACTAGCAGTCCCAATACAAAGTCCAGGCCCCCCCTATCAGGGCATATACGGTACTAGCAGTCCCAATACAAAGTCCAGGCCCCCCCTATCAGGGCATATACGGTACTAGCAGTCCCAATACAAAGTCCAGGCCCCCCCTATCAGGGCATATACGGTACTAGCAGTCCCAATACAACGTCCAGGCCCCCCATCATATAGGGTGCTTGAGGCCTAGCCCCAGGAAAAGCCTCTCCTGGCCAGGGGTGATTGCTCCAGGTGCAGAAAGGGGTGGTAGGGGGACCTGGGCCCTCCCCCGGGGCCCAGCCCAGGGCCCTGTAGGCAGGGACTCTTGCTCCTGCCTGCTCGGTGGAAATCCAGCCAATACATACCAAGTGGTGCTAGCAATCCCTTGCCCTGGTCTACTTCCTGGCACCCTATAGTCTGTCTGCCTTGGCAGCAGTCCTTACCGGGGCCAGCAGTTTAGGTGGCCTGGTTCCTCAGGTGGAGTTGACTGCTGGCTGCACTCCCGGCATCCGATGCTGGCCCTCGCTCTAGCCTCAGCTGCTGCAGGACCACCAGGGTTGTAGCCTGGGCCCTACTACCCTCCAGCTGCCTCCTCTTCTGCAGGGCTCCCTCTGCCTTTATATGCTGGCTCTGCTGGACACACGCCCACCAGGGCTGGAGGGGCGGGGCTCTTTCAGCCAGCTGGGCCTGGGCTACTCCCAGCCCTTCAGTGCTCCCCCCATCACACCTTCCTTCTGCTGTTGTGTGGACAGAGCTGGTCAAAAATGGGGGTTTTCCCTGCTAAAAATTTGACTTTTGGAAAGACCAAAAAACCCCCAAAGTCTAAAATATTTTGGCTGAAAGCCAGAATAGTTCAAGTCTGAGAGGCTGCTGCTGCACCTCATGGGAACTGCAGTTTGGGTGCTTCCCTTTCATCTCCAGAGACCACACTCCCTGCCTGGACTAAGTCTTCCTCAATGCTGCCTGATTTCCATTCATGAGGGTGGGTGTGGACTGTATGGCCACAGTGCATCATGGGAGATGAGGTCTATCTGGAGAGAAAAGAAAGCTGCTAGTACAGTGGGGGGCAAACTGCAGCCCTTTGGGGGTCTGTGTGTGGCCCACGAGACATTTGTTAACCATTGCCCACGTGCAGGGTTGCTGGAGTCCACTGGTTTCCATCTGCGTAGCTTTTCTCCTACGGGTGTTTCTAAAGTGACACGCACTTAAAGCCGGGACACGGGAAGTGGGGTGCAGGCTGGTTGCACACACCACTGACTGAGGGCCACGCGTTCCCTCTGCAGCCAATCACAGCGCTTCAGTTGGTCCCCCCGCAAATTCTCAGTACGCACAGTTAGCAAAACTGCCCCATTCTGGGAGACTGTCTTGATTAGGACAACCTTGTGGCCACGGAGATGCAGGAAGGCCACGTGTGGCTCACTCACTAGCCTGGGTTGCCCATCGCTGTGCTAGCTGCAAGTTTTCAGGGATTGGTTCAATCTGAGGAATTTGCAACCTGTCCCGGACACTCCTCAGGAAAGAGGAGTTGCTGAACTCGCCAGCCTCTGTACTGATGGCAGTTAAATGCACAGCACTAATATTGAGCAAGGATCGCTCTACAAGATTAATTCACCCCTGGATAAGGGCTTTTGCACCATCTGAAGTAGCTATTGTGCAGGAGTGGATTTCACCCGGAGAGAGGAACTCCCTCTCCAACCTTGTTCTGCCCAAGGCACGAGCCTTCTCTGCGTGTTGTGAAGTCCTATCTACCCTACCCTCCATGGAGCTGCCAGGAAGCGAGACAATGCCATCGCCAGTGAGAAGTGGGGGACCAAGGCTAGGTGAGGGCCGCACTGCTTACACCCGACAGGATTTCGGGGGGCACCAGGGAGGAGTCTGCTGCCCTGTTTGTAAGCGGCAGCTGACGAGCGAGCGTGGTAGAGGCAGGCAGGCGTGCGGCAGGCGTGCGGGTGGGAGAGAAAAGAACGGCTCTTGAAGAGTAGTGAGCAAATGCATTCGTGTTTCAGCCAGACAGAGCGGAATCGTTAGATCCAGCACAGAGGGACTCCTGCTGCTCACAGGCCGTGCCGTGTGACTCCGGCAGCGCAGAGCACAGGTGGTCTATGTGGAGGGACAGGTGCAGGTGTCAGTGACAGCACGAGGGATCAGTGGGGGTGGGTGGAAGGGGGATGTTTTGTATGGGAGATAAGGACGGAACTAGGCGAGTATCTATGAGGTGAGGGGAGAGGGGAAGGAACATGGAAGGAGTGCTTGGTGTGCCCAGTAGTTATGTTGAAAAGGAGGGTTATATTTGTGGGAAGGGATGACAGCTGTGGGGTGCATGTGTGGGAAGGGGTGATGGTTGTGGGTTGTGTTTGTGAGAAGGGGTGATGACTGTAGGGCATTGTGTGGGAAGGGGTGATGGCTGTGGGTTGCATGCTTGGGAAGGGGTGACGGCTATAGGGAGCTGTGTAGGAAGAGGTGACATCTGTGAGGTGCATGCGTGGGAAGGAATGACAGCTATAGTGCATGGTGTAGGAAGGGGTGACGGCTGTGGGACACACGTGTGGGAAGGGGTGACAGCTGTGGGGTACGGGAAGGGGTGACGGCTGTGGGGCGCAGTGTGGGAAGGGGTGACGGCCGTGGGGCGCGGTGCAGGAAGGGGTGACGGCTGTGGGGCACGGTGTGGGAAGGGGTGAAGCTGTGGGGCGCGGTGTGGGAAGGGGTGATGGCTGTGGGGCATGGTATGGGAAGAGGTGATGGCTGGGGAGGGCGGTGTGGGAAGGGGTGACAGCTGTGGGGCGTGGTATGGGAAGAGGTGACGGCTGTGGGGCGTGGTGTGGGAAGGGGTACATTTCCCATGCTGCTATTCCATTTTTACTTGGACGAGCGCCCAGGATCCTGGCAGATGCCGTAGTTGGTATTGGTGATGGATCCCACGATGCTCTTATCAGCCTCGCAGGTTAAGCCATTCTCACAGGGACACTTGTAGTAAACCCCATAGATGCTCTGCAGGAGACACAGAGGCCTGGGTAACACACGGCACATTGCATGGAGCTCTCTGCTGTGGGACCCCCGCCCTGAGCAGATCCACAAAGCCACCACCTTCCCTTCCAACCCCATGTCCACCACCACGCCGGCAGGCACCCGCCAGCCAGTAACAGCACGGGGAGAGGCTGGTGGGGGCG